GACCATATTTGGAGGTGCAGTGGGTGGAGCCTGCAGTCATTGAATAGTAGCAGGGGTCAATTACATGGTATCAACACCCCAATGCGCACCATGTTTTATCATCTATTTGACTTTAAATGGGACCATAATTTACAAAATGAACATCATGTCCTATTGAAGAAGAGTTTAAACTAGCAATTGAGACCATTAACTCCTGAGGGAAATGTTTACTGGCATTACACATCAAGTGAAAGGGAGGCTCATTCTCTGCTGGTCAGTTGAGAGAATACAGGTTTCAGGGGCTTCCGCATTGGCTTCACTTGCTGGACCTAGAGTCTGCGACCAATTCTATATAGAGTCTGTGGTTAATGCACGAGCTAGTGAAGCTATACCTTCACAAATCCACTGGAAAAGAAGACAACTATAGCGACTAGCAGGATATAAACCAACATTGAATTTTAAATATTGGATTCACTAATACTACCCATTTATGACGCTTAAGGATTCACACAATGGGGACACAGTGAGAGCAGAGAAGAGCTGAAAAGCTGCCAGGTCACGGTGTGAGAAGATGGGGACGAGGCCAGGTATGACAGCTGGTGCTAAGACCCGGCCTGTGTTGACCTGCAGCTACTTGTACGACCCCACGTTGCTACATTAGCCATGTGGATGCCACATAAAAACTAACAAGGTGTCCCTCTGCCCACACACAATTGCTGTATCCTGGATGAGATAGAAAAGAGAAAGCCAATCAATCAATCAATCAAATTTATATTTGTATAGCCCATATTCACAAATCACAATTTGTCTCATATATGGGGCTCATAGGGAAGGATTCCTGTATATGATCAACTTTTATACTTTCTTTTTATCAATAAACACAATCACGTCAACATAAACACCATTCTGTATCTGAGCTGCATATATTATTGTGGTATAGGCTGACTGTGCTCACTGAAAGAACCCAGTGTAGTATTACCATTGTATATTCTTTTCACTGTACCATCTGGTGACTCAGACCCCTCTACCCCCCCCCCATCCTTTACTCTCACTTTCTTTCTTTGTTTATATTCTCCTCTCTCGCTCTTTCTCTCGTCCTCCAGTGAGAAGTGCATTGAGAAACGAGCCGGTGACTATGCAGATGTGAAGTGCGACTTTAGCGTTTTCCCGGCGAATGCTTGGCCCTCTTGTGTCAACAATACAGCAGCGATTGTCTCAGTGAAACAATGAAAAACAGGATGAAAAAAAACAAGCCCTGTTGTTTTTATTATTAATGTTCAAATTGAGGGGGAAGTGGGGAAAATTCTTGGGGAATTATTTGCATTTGCCATCAAAAGCTGCAGCACAACAGTTTTGTGTGTGATAATTCGACAATATAACAATCTGTCTCATCTCTGCGCCATTATTTCTGCTTACAATGCCATTACTGGTGCCTCGGAGAAATTAACAGATCCTCAGACAGCACGTAAAGAGGACTTTGGCACAATAACGCAGATCAATGCCCACATCTATCTGTATGCATGCAGGGATCCCACCACCTTTTCTCAGTACTGTTCTTCCTCTAACTTTATTGCACACTGGGGCTTCAGAATTACAGCTGCACTTTGCTTCCAATATTGCAAGACGAGGTAGTTCATTCTACTAACTTTCAGTGATCTATTTCAATATTGCACTCTAACTGAATTATAGTGCTCTGGAGTGCACCTCAGCCTTCCTTACACCATCACTTTTGAATTTATCTTGCATGCAGATACCCCTCCTCTGTTTCCCCAATATTTCCCAGAAGGGTCAGATTACTGAGGCAAGAATCTCATGAAACTGACCGGCCACCTGCCTTATTGCTTCACAACAGATTCAAATTAATTCCCCTCCCAAAAATCACATGAAATAAACATGGTTGATAATATCACTTCATGCTGATAGAAGTGTTTGATCTGGTACTCAAAACAGGGAGGCGTCCAACTTTCATGACCCAACATTGCACAGCGAGACTGGTATGTATTCTTACATAACAGATGTTAGACAACATCTGCTTTGCTCTGATTGAACACACGGCTCCTTAGATTTCACAGCCGAGCTCCGAGGAGTTTGAAAGACACGTTTGTTGTTAGCATTTGTTGAAAAAAAAAAAGGCTAATTAGGCTCCGTTCAAGTATGGTAACAATGGTCTGACATGCCAGCAAATTTAAGTTTCCAGTAAATTTGAAGAATGCATCGCTTCCAATAACACCACAACACCTTCTACATTTTAGACATGAATGTGCGTCCAGCCTTATTTGGACTGCACAGAGCCTGACCGATGCTGTTATTTCTAGCGTCCACATATTTCTGGTCGCATAGCTTTAGTTTCTTTCATCTGACCTAATAACACTTAACGTTTATCAGCCTGCTCATTTGTAAATTGCTTAAAAATATGTGTAAAAATATAACCTTACTAGAGGTAAAGTGCCTTGAGATAATTTATAATGTGATTTGGCGCTACACAAATAAAACTGAGTTGAATTTAATTGAACTATCAAGTCATAAATGTCTTTTTTTGCGTCGCCAAAATATCCAAGGTACAAGCAATACCATCTTGCAGTGATTATTTGGAGTCAGAGTCCAACCCCCTGTACTAGTCTCAGCTTTCAATCATGATGTTTCACGTTTTCATAGCATCAGATGACGAACATATCAGAAAGATTTGAACATACATCAGTGTAAGGCAGAAAACCTTCATCATATTATTATTACATTGTTTGATGCTGCATATATCACATTAGTGTAAGTGCTGATAGTAAGGACTCCCCACACTGACCGACGTCTGGTGGGCGGCCACTCTTCTTCCCCTGATCTTCCCCCGGGGAGACGCAGAGGGAGTTATTTCAATTAGTCAGATCCTGCCTCAACAAAAAGCCCAACCTGCTCCCAGTTGTATCTCCAGCCCGGCCAGAGAAAGCTAATCAAATCAAGGCAGACGTGATGCAGACAAAGACTGGAAGCACTCTGTGGTCTGAGGGGGAGGCAGGGGGGGTGCTATGGGCTGTAAAACATGTCTGGAGTGTCACGTTTGAAATGGTACATCCAGCAAAAGAGAGTTTAAATATGACTGCAGCGCGTAAGGAAGTGGTGGGCAGAGAAAACTGCTTGGAAAAAATATGTTTGCATAAGTCAATTGGTGATCAAAGTAAATGGGGTTTTATTGTCGGCGCCACATAAGCCATCACTTCCGATCGTGGTGCTACATTTTGACCCTTTCTGCAGCTTCAAACGTTACAGTAACCCGATCAGTTCAGTGTCAGATCCAGGGATTAAGGATCTGTGGTCTGCAGTTTTCTTCTTCTTCATGTTGATGATAATAGTCTCTAGGTTTAGCTTTGTTGTTCACAGGTTCCTTTCTGATGTCACTTCAAAGCTGTGTGGAGGCTGGGCCAGAGGGGGTTTTAGCCTGGCTTGACCAAGCACACTTCCTTTGCCCGTTTCATGTTTGGCACTCCATTTCTCTCTCTGACAAGCAGTCGGAGCGGAGTCTGGGCCCCCTGAGCACTAATTACAGGTCACCATGTCAACTAAGAGGGTACCCCCCCACACACACTTTTAAAGCAGTGGCTGAAATCATGACGGGGGAGGACGGGGGCTTTATCGAATAAGCATGATGATTCAGTGCACAAGCAATTCATCATAATAAACATGGAGATGAAGCATTTAACAGAACTGGACACTGGTGCCCCCTCAGAGCCGTAAATATTTATCCCTTTAGCTTATAGCATCCCTTTTTCTTCCTATGTTCCTAATTTCCCTACTGACTTTACATGTTGGCTCAGATTTTAGATGTTATAAACACAAAACAAGAGTTTGCTACAGAAGACGTCTCTAATGCCTGTTCATGCTAGTTCTATTCTTTCGTACATCAGTAAAATATAATATTACGATATCGTTTGTCTCATTGGGTATTTCATTGGGTTACCACACTTTTTCATGATGGTCCTGGTCAGAGAAGATGTATAATATATTTTGGAACAATCTGCACAATCGATTAGCTGTTTAATCTCACTTTATAAAAGGGATAGTTCACCCAAAACTTCTTTCATTATCTACTCAGCACTATGCCGATGGAGGGGTAGATCCGCAAAACCCCAACATTCAAATTCAACTCGAAACAGCGTCATTCACTTTATGTTATTGCAAGAACTTGTGAGTATCAGAGAACTTGTGATAGCAGTAACTCGGAGGAGGATGACAGCGGACATTTAGACTAAAATCGTAGTTTGTCTTTTTCAAGTCTAGTTGGAATGTCGTGGCTTCCTGACACTTTGATGACACCACAGTTACAGTATGGAGGCATTTTATTTAATTTTTTTCTGTAGTTGAAGAAGTGGTCACCAGTTACTTCAATTGTATTGAATTTGGCTGGAACACTATTTACCCCTGAAACTCCAAAAGGGTTTTGCGGACTCCATCGGCATAGCGGTGAGTACATAATGCTTTTAATTATCTGCATCTTTATTATTGACATCTGTCTTATTTGATTATCTGAATCTTTATTATGGAGATGACAGTTTGTGAGTTTCACATTGTTTGCCGCAGAGCATTTGGGTGTTTGGTGATTTGGAGGCAAAAAATACCACCTCACACCACAGAAGTATTTTTTCCTGAGTGGTACTTATTAATACACAGGCTCGATGCCGGGTCTATTCCTGCCTCCTCTCCCATCATGACCGCGGAGCGTCGCTCAGCTCAGTCCGGAGGAATGGAATGAGAGGCAGCCGTGGACGATACCAACTCCGGGTGCCATCAGGGATGGGGGGGAGCACGAAGGGAGCACCGCGGCCATAACGCACATAAACGCACTCTAACGTCATCAAGAACCTTCCAGATGAATAATATTTAATTAATGAGTCGTGATTGTGACTATATGAGTCTACATTGTTGATCAGACACGTTCGAGGTGTCGCTGTTTCTCCTCGCCCCCCCCCCGTGTTTCCGCTCGCAGCCTCCACGCGCGTTCCTCCTGCTGGTCGCTCCTCGTCCTGCGGGGACAGAATGTGGCGCCGCTCGAGAGCAGCGGAGCAAACGACGCCTCCTCCAGAACTTCTCCCTTTTTTTTTTAAACAAAACTCTGGATGTCTCCGCTTCTGTCTCCGCTCCGGACTCAAACTGACGCGGCTGGATTTTAACGCTCTCGTTGGGAATATCCGTTCTTCTTCCGCCTCATGTCAGAGAAATAGGTGAGTTTAGTTTTTCGTCCACGCGCGATGCTTCGTGCGCGTTTTTAAAAATATTTCGCCCTCCAGTGACGTCATTGAAGCTCGCTGAATTCTTGAAACATTTTGAATTGAATTCAACGCGTTTTGATAGTTAGCATGTGTGTTTGAACAGGTCAAAAGTCTTTAAGGGTAAGAGTGGTGATGCTGCCAGGACATTTTACATTTACAAAAAGTTTTTAGTTCTTATTTGGGTTTATTTATTCACCTTTTCCCTCCCATGTTAATCAATGCTTTATTTGAACACGTGCCACAAACCGCACGTTTTTTGCAAAAGATCTTCACTTAAATTGTAAATTCTGATCCCATGTGTTTTAACCATTAGGTTATAAAAAAATTCCTCGTGTGTTATTGCTGTGCAGTTACCATGCCACGAATTCCCCCTCACCTCCAACAGGGGACATTGTTGTTAGATGTCAATCAGTCCCCTCTAATGTCCCTTTGAGCAAACTGAAGAGTTGTTTTCTTAGCTCCCAGGAATGCCAACAATTCCTCCTCTGTCTAGTATCAGCCCAGAGGACCACCAGGACCAGGCTCACTCACGCTTTTCTGCAGAGCTTTGGCTGATTTCAGGCTCTGAACGTTGTTTGGTTTCACTTGTTTTAACGTGAATAAGTTAACTCGTAAGTGAGAGTATCTTTTATCCCTGCCCCACTCCCTCAGAGGTCATTGTCAGAAGGTGAGCGCTCCCTGGAGCTTCATATTTTGCTCTTCCGCAGAGAGGAATGCTTAGCCAGCTGAACTTGATTCCCATTGTAGAATTGTCACTATTATGTTCTTCTGGGTTTATTGCATTGCTCAACCTCGCAGTCTGAAAATGTAAGGATGACTTGTGTATTGCTCAGCACAGTCATGAGGGCATCTCCTGCAACACTTGAAACTCATCCAGTGCACATAGCTGGCTAATCGCATACCTTGTGTGGCCCATTTCCCAGCATACAGTACGTGGCCGGCCATCCAGGTCTCTGCTCCAGCTGTGGGGGGAAGAAAAACAACTTGTGTTTTTGTGATGGTGTCACTGTCTTGGCTCACTTGTGTAACAGAGCAAAGTGAAGGAAAGAGGGAGGTGCTGCAGGTGGTGCTGGCTGGACAGGAAGAGCTGTGCTTGAGTAGGAAACAAAAAGGAAATGTGTGAACAAAGGTGGTTGGTGTGCGTGCACGCGTGTGTGTACGTGTGTGTGTTGGTGAGTCATTCGCTTGGATCTTTGCAGGAATGTGTAATGGGGTGGCCTGAAATTGCACAAGGATCTTAAATTCACTTCTGTGTGATTAACCCTGGAGATTTTACCTTTATTTTACTGTCCTGTCACGTAGAAACCACACGGCACAGTTTGTCCCATATTCACTTCACTGAATTCAGGATCTCTTGTTTTCCTGAATTGAACAGTGACTTCCTCAGCATGAATCCTCGTTCTCGGCTCTGGCTTTTTCTGATGCTAGGTTTTTAAGATGCATCGCTGTTGCTATGTTTATCCCAGGCAACCGTCCACCATCAGTTTTTGAGCATCTATACTTTTGGAAATGCTGCTGACCCCATTTTAGTCTGAACAGAGGGGGGCTGCATTTTAGTCTGAACAGGCCGAAACCATGACTTTTCAAAATAGTGATGCTATCACCTGCCTACTGGTTCTTATCAGTCAACTTGCCAGTGATGTATGCATAGTGCTGTGTACACTGACTGTCAGACCAAGAAAAGAAATCCCATGTTTCACTTGTCGCCGTTGCTGTCTCTTGTTTGTATTGTTTTTCTGCAATGAAGCAACCAACTGTAGAGTAGACAGTCCACTTCCTGTTCACACTGGCACGCATATACATGCCCTGTGTGATCACGCGATTCGCATTTTCAACAGTGTTAGTATGGACAGAGATTTTTTACCAGTAATCTCTTCTCCTTGTAAAGCACTTTGTTAGGTAAGTTTTGAAAGGGGCAATATAAATAAAATTTTACTTTACCTCTGATAAAGAGCTAAAACGCTTGTCTGGACGGAGATTGTTTTAGTTTTAAAACACAGATTCAAAAGGAAAACATATTAGTGTGGATGTAACCTGAAACTGCTTTGAATAGAGAACCCAAGTTCTATTTACCTATTGGTAATAAGGAGATAACCTGTTATACCAATGAACTCATCATCTCCTCACTAATAATATTCTCCATAGAAGTACAATACACGCCGGGAGGTGATTTTCATACTGTTTCAGTGGCTTGTTTTCAAATTCCTTAATTTAATCAATCTATTTATGTAAATTTATCAGCCCATGACCTTTTTGCCACTAGCTAAGATGTAAGAGAGATAATATTTTTTGGGTGTCAGGATGATGTAAGTGAGGACTGAGGGTGTTACAGGTCCACGAGGAAGGAAGGATGAGATTACTGTTATTGCCACAAAGAAGGAGAAACTCGATCTCTTATCATACATATCGTGTGATATCTCTTCTGTGTTTACAATTTGTGGGTGTGTAGCATTTGAATATCTGTACCTGTAATTTATACAGGTGCCCTGGGCACTTTACTTTCCTGTAGCTGCTTTCGGATGCAAACTTTGTATCGCAAGAGAAATTCCAGAGACTTAACTATAGTCCTGAAATTGCTCAACAGAGGACCACAAGAAGAATTTTAAATGAAAACCTTCAACGTCAGTGTTGCATGCCTTTTTGCAGGACTCCTTATATTTATGTCTGAAGTGCACAATAGGGGGGTAGAAGAAAATGGGGTCAGTTCTTCCAGCATTTCTGTCCCAGTCTCACTTTTTCTTGGGTTTGTGTTTTTTCCCCTCTGCTTGCTTGGCCTCCTTAGTGAAGTTCGAGTCCTTTCAAGGAAGTAGACCAGAGAGATTTAACCTGCCGGCAACCCCTGAGGTTATTATCGACTGCTCTCTCTCCTCGCTGCAGCTCTCAGAACTTCCTGTTTGATATTTAGCTGATATTCAATGGAATTTCTTGCAGGTAGATAAGTTACTGAGGCGCAGGTTCACTCCCAGTGCCAAAGCTTGCATATGCATAACCCAAAATTACAGTTGTAATTGTTTGGGTTTTTGGTGGAAGCGGCAACATGATGGACTTTCATCATCTTTACTTGTGTTTCCATTGAAGTAATTTTCAAGCCATGGAGTTCATAGCTGTAGAAAAAGCTGGTTCACCACCAAGTAATGTCACACAGCTGTATTTTGTTATGCACAAGTATTTGTTTGATTTCGTATAATGCTGCAGATAAACTCCTGCATAGTTTTTTTTATACCTGGTTGAGACAGACACACCACGTCTCAGTCTTGTGACTCTTTTCAGGTGTGACAGTGTCAACAATAGATGAGACAAGGAAAGGACAGGAAACGGATCCGATCACCTGCAACAACCCTCCACATTGTGTCCAAACGCAGAGATCTTTGGTTGAAACAAAGCAGCAGGGTTTGGTCGGGGTTTGTTATAATTGCAGCTCATTTTTTAACCCTCTCCTTTAATGCTGCTCACTCTATTTTGAGCATACGTAATGGTCGGGTTGACGTTTCTGCGGTGTGTTGCACTGCGATTGCTAGTTTTGTGGGGTTACTCATGCACAGTCCAATCCAGAATGCAGGGTGGGGAGGGAAGGGAGCGACTGCTGACTCTGTTCTAACACGTCTGGCAGGCAGTTTGAAGTGCATCAGTGTGTGTGTGTGTGTGTGTGCGTGTGCGTGCATGCACATGTGTGTCCTTGCTCCGAGCAACATGGAAGCCAGATGTTATGGACGTTGAACAATCTTTACTGAGATCCCGTTGAATCTTGAACTTTACTGTTTGAGCTCCCTGTTGCTTCAAGTTTACAGCTTCCAAAGAGTGAGTTCTCTAAAATGATGTTGATTCAAGCAGTCAAGTGCACACTCATAATAGTTACCTGCTGGTTTGTCTTCAAAGAAGGAAAGCGTTATGGTGCAACATCATCTAGAGAAGGCCAACTCAAAACTTTCAGCCAACTCCAATAGGGACACAAGCCAATTTAATCAAATATATTTTCTGTTGCATTCTGGATTGCACATTTTTTCTTATTTCTTTTTTTTTCTTTTTTCTACTCAAAAACAAAGGAACTTGTTTATGTAATTTGTTTAAGTAGAAAGGCTGTGTACTCAGACACTCCCTGCATAGTTCTGTTCCTCAGACAATGACTGTCATCAAGAGCAATTAGCTGCCAGCTATGTTTCATATTGTAATTTTCCTGTGTGTGCATGTGTGCGTGCACGTCACAAGTGTGGGTTAGATGCAGGGGTTGAATTGTGAAACAGTGGCGGGGCACATTAATTAAATTTATCATACTACTATAAACTATTAGTAAGGATGATTAATCCATCTGAAAGAAGCTCCAGATTCTTAATCCACAGTAATCCCTGGACAGAAATGATCAGAAGTCAAGTGAAAAGTCTGTAAAATTCAGTCCAGTAAGACGAGTTCTCCAGTGAATTCAGATAATGTACAGTAAATATCGCAGCTGGGTTTATTATGTGATTAGCAGTTGAGCCCGAGGCCACCCCCCCACCCGTTCCTCGACGCTTCCCTATGAATTATATAATATCATTACAGTGCTATGCTGTGTACAGACATGACCTTCGGAGGTTAATGAGCGTGACATTTGATTAAGGAGGACACCCAGGCGTTTACTCCTCACATCCTGGATTTATGAGGAAACATATATATACGATAGATTATACTTCCTGTGAAAGAAAAACGATATTTACTGGAGCTGCTTCTGCCTGTGTTGTGGATAATTACCATAATCCAGACGCTACTTTTCATCAACTCACAATAAGTCATTCAACTCTGGTTTGAGGTTCTCAGACTCAAATTGAACTCTGAGCCACAGATTGTTTACCTTCCCCGCGAGCCGGTTGGAAATAGACAAGGAATTCTGACACAAAAAGTATCTGCTGCATTAATTTATGGGCAGAGGATCCTGGGAATTGCAGTCTTAAATAGTGCTCCGTGTTTTCCCTCTGCCTGAGATTAGGCTTAAAGGCTGAAACACACACACTCAGGGCATCCAGGTATTTTTGGCGGAGCAGCTAAACATGCTTCCAGGTTCTATTAATACCAGCAAGGGTCACAGCATGTTGACAGCAGAGCTACACAAATACACAAACGACAACATCATCAGAGTGAGGGCGGCTTTATTTTGTAAGTAAAATAAACATAAATGAGTATTTTTCCTGTACATAACGTCAGCCACTTCCTGACATCACGAGCCAGCCAGGACCCAAAATAGATGTTTAGACCATCCATCCAGAATGAGTGGTTCGGATGGTCAAGCGTGTCGCCCACTAGCTTGCTTCTTCCTGTTTACTCTCAACACTCGGCCCCTCCTTTTTCAGTGCATCAATAGGTTAGACGGAGACAAGCAGGGAAAGTCTCAAAGCGAGGGCTCATGCCATCTTGTGACCAATGTGATTTAGGGCTACTCGTCAGCTCAGCAACATTTGTCATTAGCTGAATAAACAGATCTTTTGGCAGCAAACCAAGGAGGGGAGGAAAAAAAAGACCAGTTCCCACTCAGATTTAGTCGTTGGCACTATTTTTAAAAGCTGTGGCCTTTTGAAAACAAGCCCTTTAGATATTTCAGCAAAGAGCAGTTTGTGTCAGGATCTGCGGCACCACAAACTTCCATCCTTTTAACGGTTGTTTGTACGTTGTTTGTGTAGTGTTTGTTTTTGCTGGCGAAAAATAAAGAGAATCTAGTCTGTGAACGCAGTGTCATTATTTGAATTGTTTGATTGTTGTTTGTCTGTCTGGCTCATTCCCATGAATGTGATATCTTAGTCACACCTTGAGGGAATTTCTTCAGATGGGGCCCAAATATTCACTTGGACTGGAAGATAATAATATAATAGGCTTAGTTACAAGAGGACAACAATAAAATGGTCAAAGGTCACTGTCACCTCACACTTTTGGTAACATTGAGGATTTATACATTGATTTTGACTCAATACATTTATGAATTCCCTCAAAGTCCTCACAACATATATTACTTGAGTCTGAACAGGAAGAGGGATACAGTTGTACAGGGTTAATTTGAGTTGTCATGAAGAATAACTCAAATTATGAATCCATCAGATACAGTAATTGCTGGCCTTGATTTTTTGAGCAACTTTTGGTAAAAGTATCCGTCCCATTTCCTTATAATCTAAGGTGACTTCTGCAAATGTCGCAGTATAGATATTATACTCTAACACTCTAAATAAAGCTGCTTCAAATAAGTAATATTTTGCTTAAACAACTTTAATGACTTTAAACCTGCCAGTTATAGTGAATAAAACTAATAGATAACTTAATAAATAGTGTTAAGCTCTAGATCAGGAGTTACAGATCACGTGTGCAGCTCCAGGTTGTAGGATGATGGCGGAGGATGCAGTATATGTGCACGTGGAGCCGGTGGCGGTGCTGCCCGTTGTGTTTGTCAGGAATCAAAGACCGCCATTGTTGGAATGAGAAGCAGATGTTAGTGAGGAATTCTCCTGACTGCAGCAGTTTTTTTCATGCCTGAGCTTTGAGGGCTGCCTCACTCCATCTCCCTCCCTCCGTCCTGCGTTCTCTCCCCCCTCTCTGCTGTATACATCCTCCCTCTCCTCCCCTCCTCTCTCTGATAGTCTGACAGAGACTCTACCTGAAGCTTCTTAAATCAGCCTCCAAGCTGAGGAAGTTTTTCTTCGGCTTCACCCTCCAATAGTTGAACGCAGAGGCTCTCCACCCCTCGTGTGTGTGAACGGAGGAGGGAAAGAATGAGAAGGAGAGAGGTGTAGTTGTGACAGAGGGCCTCTCTTTCTCTTTCCCAGTGTGGGATTTGGTGTCATGCCCGACTCCGAGGTTTGCCACGTTGACAGAATCCCTGTTTTAGGGCTGAAAGGCAGGGGGAAGCTCCGTTGGCTGCTCTTTGTGTGTATGTTGCTTTAGATGGACTTCAGTGTTGCGTCACACTTTGCAGGGCAGTGAAAGCGGTGATGGAAAGCAGCAGTAATTTCATTACCCAGCAGCACTCTCCTCGCACAGACCCAGTGTTCGCCATGCTGAGTGGAAGAGAATCCACCCTTTAATTTCACTGTGGACCTCTGTGGAGTAGCCCAGACATGACACAACAGACTTTTAAACCCATCAATAATGACTGTACGCAGTCGTCTCTGAGTTACCCGCCTCTGCAGGAGACCAGCATACGTCCACTTTCACTAGTAACACTTAACAGTGTGATAATTGTGTCATAACGAGGGCGTCTGTGGAAAGCAGGAATCATATTTCTGTCTGCAGATGCAACATGATATGATTTTAACAGAGACTGCTTCAAGGGCCATTAACCTCTCTACAGGAAGACATGACTAAGCTATATGTGTGAGTGTTTCCATTTTGTTCACAGATTTCCAACCCTGACAAATAAAGGAATGCTAATACACAGGAAACGCTGCACGCCATGATTTAGACTACAGCCATACTACTATGCCACTTTTCAACCTGCTACACTGCCCCAGAGTATTCGAGCTCCTTAAACAAAGAACTCTGGAAATGCTGCTGTCCACTTTTTGGCTCTGTATCAGTTTCAATCCCAGTCTATGCTAACACGCCTGAACATGCTTGTCACATGACCACTCATGTATGCTTGGCATACGTGTTCCGCTGTAAACATGAAGCGTTTGGTTGTTTGTTTCACAGAGATCTAGCTCTGTTCCTGCTCTTTCAGACTAAGACGCAGCCCCACTGGGACCAGCAGCCTCTCTGTTTTAGTGATTGATATTAGCTTTAGCGATGATAAAATCTGCATCTCATCTTTTGCCTGTTTCAGTTAGCAAACAACAAAAGTCATCATCTGCTTAAACGAAGAACGGTACAGTTAAGTCACGCTTTTGAAATCCTATCATGTGCGTGTTTTCTCTGTTCTTGCAAACAGAACAGTTCGAAACATGGTGTTCTCGGCAAGTCTTGTATCGGTCGTGGTTTAGTGGAATCACTCTCGCTCTTTGGATGAGAAGCGAGCGATGCTTGGAAGTGATCCAATTAGAAAGATCTCAGCACTAATTAACCCTCCTGCCATCACACAGCTCAGCTGCTCTGTAGCTGCACCTGACATATGGTCATGGCAAGAGAACAGTGTGTGTCTGTGTGTGTGTCTGTGTGTGTGTGATGGATTTTTGTCTTGATGTACATATGTGTTTGTGCAGTGCAGCAGTTTAGTCAAGGTCAGCAGCAGAACAGGGAGTCGTCCTAGTCACGGCTCATCAGCAGACTCTGCTGAGTGGCTGGTTGCCTGCCACACTGCACATCCAATGACCAGCTTTAATGAGAACTGATGCAGGATGTCAACAGTATGTGTATTTATGACTGCTTTGCCCACAATGCTCCCTGTCTATAAATGTGGACAGCGGGCGTATTGAATGGGCACTTAGTCTGAAAAGCACTTTCAGAGTGTGCAGCAGACGTCCCATCCCACAGCTAAAGGTGTTGTTTATTGGTTTGGGTCTGGTCAGTAATTTCAGTGTTGTATCCACTGGTGACAGATAATTGACCTGCTGCTTCGTTACAGTAGCTAAACAACAGGGATTTAGTTTTAAAACCATTTTAAAAACCAAATTTTCACATCTTTTTTTTTTTCACATTTAGATCGTGGTCTAGTGATCCCTAAACCCTAACCTTTCTACCTTCATCTTTTAAAATTCAAATTGTTTTCTTCTCTTTAATGTGATCCTGCCCACTATCTGTCCTATCTGTTTTTAATGACAACATGTCCTCCAGCTGAGGAACTTTAAAACAGGATGCGATGATAATCTTGATCCATTGTTCTTAAACATTCTTTTGTCTGCTCTGAGACTTTTCACACCCCCTGCAGGTCTCACACACCCCCAGGCTCAGTTCACGCTGTGAGCTCCTCTCAAGAGGTGTGTGTGTGTGTGTGTGTGTCTGTGTGTGTGTGTGTGTGTGGTGTGTCACCACCAAGTTGTGAACCTCTAACATGAGATTGGCTCAGGTGCAGAATAAAGTCAAAACACATTTCTGTGAAAACACTTAAAATTCACTGTGCACATATTCTGACACGTTCCTGCAGCACTGATGGTTTTAACTCTTCCATAAAGAAATTAATTCAGGGGGAAATTAAACATACATATTAATACAAGTCCACTGTTTAAAAAATATTAACATGACTTAGATGTTTTAAATGTTTGTTTTTCTGTGTCTGCATCAGTACGACTGTACATGTGGATTTCAGCAGACAATAAAAGCAGCTGAAAACAGAATGAGTTGACAAATCTGATGCCAGCAGGAAAATGTGGAGCTGTTTGACTCACAGTGCAAACAAAGTGAGACACCCGCTCAGCTGCTGTGTCGCTGCTGTGTTGTAATTCTGTTGTGTTTGTGGTGAGAAAGTGATAGAACTCATTTGGATTTCAGTCTGACGCACTCTGGGTTCTCTGTGTTTCCTTCGAGCCATCGTTACTTCTCATCAGTTCCTGTGCAGACAGATGTTCACATGTTCCTCTGGAGTCACTGACATTCTCCTGCACTGATGTCACACATTCAAGGACATGAACAGGAATCCTGCCTCCTTTTAGTCTGTCTCTCTTAACTTCTCCACATCCTGTCAGACTTTAATTAAAGTGCAGATAACTTAACTCTTTTTAGATTTTTACAGAATCTGAAATGTGGGAGTTTTCAAACTGAAATTGGTCCAGCAGCGTTTTAAAACCGTTTTAGCGGATCTGAAACTCTGCATTTATGTTTTCTCTTTCAATTTTTATATTTTTGATTACATTTCCCCTTCTCATGTCACACAGCCCATCTTCATACAGCGTGATGCACTAACCTCAAGTCCTCCATCATCTCTGTTGTGTCTCTACAGTGTCAGACTGCAGCTCACGTCCCCATGCCCTGCCCTATGAGTGCTGCTTGGCTTGCTGAGCCCAGAGGTCCGTCAGGTGTGTCTGTACTGGACTCCACTGCCTGCTGAGGAGGAGGAGGAGGAGGAGGAGGAGGCAGCGGGTCGTCAGAGGGCCCAGAGCCCCTGAAGCAGGCGGAGGGGCCTGTCCTGTCCCAGCCACACGAAGATGAACAAACTGAACTTCCACAACAACAAAACCATGCAGGACCGCCGCTGTGTCTGTGTCTTTCTTCCCAATGATGACACGCTCAACGTCATAGTTAATGTGAGTATTATCACTTCTCCTGTTGCAAAGTTGCTTTCAACATATATAGAGGGATACATATAATATACAAGAAATATGGGGGAACAGCTTCCCTACATAGAAGTACATAAAAATAACACGTACCATTTAAATTAATAAACTCGAGCGGTGCCGTTAACTAGGATCAGTTTCCCATAGTGTTTAACTGATTTTCTCATCTAAGAATTATGGGTATGCTTTTTTCAAAGAGCGTAAACAGAGTTGTTTTAAATTCATAATAAATTTGGGTTTCTTGGCAGCTGACACCAGCTACTTGCGAAACCCTGTTTTTTGTGGTGCAGAACCCTGAAGAATTTAATTACAGTAAATTAACAACTGTTCTTCCATAACTACAGCTTTGAATGGGACTTCCTGGTGTTGTTGGCCAAGAACAAGGTTTCGACATTAACTAAAATAGGTTTAACTTTACACAAGCAGTCACAGGGAGTGTGCAATAGATACCAGACGTTAGCGTTTGGTAGTTCATGTCTGATTTGTCTTTGTGTGTGATTTTTAACAGATCAACTAAAAGTGAGCCTCCTCCTCTTTCTCTTATTTCCTCAGGTGAAGACTTTGTGCCAGGAATTGTTGGTGCAGGTGTGCGACCTCCTGAGACTGAAGGACTGTCACCTGTTTGGTCTCAGCGTTATTCAGAGTAAGACTGCTCATCTTGAAAGCTTCCTACTTCTGTTTGTGTCTGTAGACTGTATATGAAGATGGACAACGTAACGGAATCTCCCTGGTGGCTGGATGCAGTATAGGCCCTAAACCCTGGCTCCTCCATGGTAGTGAATGGGACATAAACCAAACAAAAAAGTCAAAATACACCTTTAGGTAGTTCTTATCATACTGATGTGTGCTCAAGTGTTCATTAGTCTGATAAGGTTTTAATTTGTTATTTGATGCTATAAAAATTGGGTTAAACATGGTTGACAGCAGAAAGATTTGTGATCGGGCGAGTGAGTGTATGAGCGGGACCTTGATTCTACAGCTTTATATCCCGATCACGACTGCACAGACTCAGCTCCATTACACTCAAGAAGATGGCACCTGTATCCAGGATATGTTAACTGAGCAATGTTTGTTTACTAAGATGACACATCTCCATTTCTCCATCAGTCAGTTTCTTCGGTTCAGGTTTTCTCCCATTCTCCACCCATGTCACACTTGAACTCTCCTCTCAAAGTAAAAGGCAAAAGGCCCAAAAAATATCTTCCCAAACTATATATATATTTAAATTACCCAGTGATTGGATAACGTGTTTTCATGATGCAAACTGTGCAGTGAATCCACTCTTGAAGAGTAGCACATAAAACTGTGTAACCAGGCAGTTACTCTCCTTAGACAAATAACTTGGCTGAGAAGCGGGAATCCGCACTAAACTAAACTAGCATCTCTCACCTATCTGTCATGACGGTCTCCCAGGAACCAGGCCCACCTCGTCCTGACTGGCCCCCATTGTGCTGTGAGGGTAAAGTTGTTTTTACTGTGACGCGGCTCAGCGAGGGTCGTGCCAATGGATTGAGTCAGCGTGTCTGTCCCACGGCCGAGCAGACAGCGGGTGACAGTTGTGGGCAACTGCAAAGGGAGAGTAAATGGCAAAGGCAGTGTTTAAAGACAGCTGGCCTCCACATGAGCCAATGACGGCACAGCAGGTCAGTTGAGCAGGAGCCAGTGGGTCTGATGGTGGGACATTCCTGAAGTGCTTGTCTGAACAGCGTGAAATCCTCAAGGCAAACAAAGGCCACCCACTCCCTGTGTGTCACCCACTGTCCCCTCTGACCAGGGTGTCACACAGGCATACATCTGTTTCCTCGCTGTTTGGAGGATAAAAACAAAAACAATAACTCGTGCATTGATATTTTAAAGTTTGCTCAGTGTGGTTCTCTATGGCAGATTATAAGACACTGCCTCTCCGGGATCAGACGGCTCAGACTGGGCGCAGACAAAAATGATATTCAGGTTCGGTCACCTTGGCCAGACTATCTATTAAATTTTTTCACCATGCACATGTCTGTAACCTGGGAAAATATCAGACTCGGGACAGGTACAGACACAAAATACAGAATGTCTATTGAGTCGGTTCGTTTTCTCCCGAGCTCGGACGGAAAGCTCTTTGAAGCTCTTTGATCATGAAAATAATTATTAGTTGTAGTTCGACTTTGTTCCTCCATCATGAGTTTCCATTTTTACTGTTCAGTAGTAGTCCTCAATGAAAAGCTGTCAGGTCCGGGGATTAGTCTGAGCAACAGGGATATTGTTTCTGGAAACTGGCTGTTGAGTTTTTAAAATGTAATTTCTGGATTCCTGAAGCACCACACACTAAATGCTGTGGACCTCAGCTGTAATGAGACGGCGGCAGAAGTCTCAGCTATCAACACCAAATAAAACCCAGACTTTCTGTGGAAATGTTTGAAATTTAACAAGGTGAAAATGAGGCCTTTAAGATTTTGGACATCACCTTACTGCACATTTAAACGCTCTGATAACACAGTCACAGAGATATTCTCAGGTGCTCTGTATGAGACGCTCACCCCCCTGCTCTTCATCCACTTCGGCTTTTACAACACGTCTTCATTTTATAGAAACTGTGAGTTGTCAGATCAGCGTGCCGCAGCTCATGGAGGGCGTCACTTCAGGAGAAGATTAAGATGTGACAGAGCGAGGTGAAGAAATGAGAAGGAACACCAGAGGCTCCGAGTACAAAGAGAAGAGCAGAGACTGTCTGATGTGATTGCTCTGAGCCCCGTCTTTGAACAGGCCTCTTTCAGGGGGGATTTCTCTGAGCACTCGCAAAACCTATACGTACACACCCGGGCACACACACACACACACACACACACACACACACACACACACACACAC